GAAAACAAGTCTTAAAACTGCCAGAGAGAAATGACACATTACCTGGAAAAGACTACCAGTTTGGAAAAGAGCAAATTCCTCATCTGAAACCACGGGGTCCAGAAAGAAGAGGCGTGACATTTTTCCAGTGCTGAAGGAAGAGACCTGTCAATCGGTCCTTCAGGAATGAAGGGGAAATAGAGACAGGCTCACATGAATTCCAAACTAAAACTAACATAGCAAATAAAATGAAAAAGCTCTAATAAAACAATGCAGGGTTTAGGTGATTGACCAAACCTGGATGAAATGGAGGTTTAAATAGTAGGAGAATCATAGCATGTTCATTAATTGGAAGAGTTAATGTAGGTAAAAATGTCAGGTCTTAAATCAGTTGATATATTTAATGCAGTTACTAGTAAAATTTCAGGAACACTTTTTTAATAGATACAGACTAGCTTGTTCTAAAATTTATATGGAAAGAGAAAGGCCTTAAAACAGCTATAACAATTCTGAAGAAGGCTGAAGTGGGAAGAGTGACTCTTCCTCGTGTTGAGGCTTGCTGAGAGCTGCAGTGATCAAAACCCAGTTATTCTAGTGGAGGGACAGACACTCAGGTCATCGCAACGGTGTGGAGGGCCCAAAAAAAGCTCACTCAGATGTACCCAGCTGATTCTTGGCAAAGAAGGAAAAGCAACTCCGTGGCGGAGGAGGTGCCTTTTCCATATTAGTGCTGGAGAAAGTAGACAGCCATCCGAAGGTATGCACCTTGACCTAAGCCTCACACTGTATACAGTTACTGACTCAAAACAGGTCGTGCACTCTAACGTGCAACATAGGCTTATAAAACTCACAGGGAAAGAAGACAATTTGAGGACCTAGGACTAGACAGGAGTCCTTAGACTTGACACCAAAAGTACAATCCATAAAAAGAAGAGTTGGATAAATTGAACTTCATCAGAATTGAAAGCTTCTGCTCTGCAAAAGACCCTACTAAGAGGAAGAAAATGCAAACTGTAGACTGGGGGAAAGAATCTGTAAGCCCCATATTCAACAGAGGACTTGTGTCTAGAACATACAAAGAAGCACTAAAACTCAACATTATAAGCGCAAAGAATCCCGTTAGAAAACGGGCAAAGGACGTGTTGAAGAGGACGCACAGACAGCACACAAACACGTGAAAGGTGTTCAGCAGCAGCAGCTGCAAACTAAAACCACAGGAATGTATCACTACACACCTGTCTGGATGGCTGAAGGAAAAATAGTGATAAAGTCAAATGCTGGTGAGGATGTGGAGAAAGCCAGTCACCCATATGTTGCTTATAGGGATGTAAAACGATACAGCCACACTGCAAAATAGTCCGGCATTCCCTTTTAAAACTAAAACTGGGTTTATCATACCGAGAGCAGGCAGTTCCATTCTTGGGCACGTGTCCCAGAGAAAAGAATACCTATTTTCACTGAGAAACTTGTTACGTGAATGTTCTTAGCAACTTTATTCTTAATAGCCAAACACTTTTAACTACCCAGACATCCTTCAGCAGGGGAATGAATGAATAGGTTACGGTACTTCCATACCATCGTCCACTTCACTTGCTCAGCACTGAAATGGAGCGAACCACTGAGTCATGCCCCCAGTGCCTTGGATGGGCTGTCGCAGGAAGTAACACCCAGTGAGGAGAGCCAGCCTCAGGAGGGCGCCTGCTGTGTGACTCCACGGGTCGACGACGTGAGCGCAGTCGTAGAGTTGGAGAGCAGACCGGGAGTGGCGGGAGGGGAGGGGACTGAATGTGGCTGGATGTGTCCCAGGGACGGCGCAGGGTGGAGTCGTGCTGTGGTGCAGGGCACGTGAAGCTGTACGTGTGATGAGATGGCACCGACGCAGACACGCAGGTGTGGCAGGTGTACCTGGTACAGTCCCTGTGGTTCACCCAGTGCCAGCCTCCCTGGTACTGCAGACGTGCAAGAGGGTGACATTGGAGGGACCTGGTGAAGGTGCACAGAACCTCCCTGTGGTGCCTTTTCCCCTTTCTGCTATTAGTCTGTAATGTTTCAGACTATCGTGTTTCTGTAGTTACACGGGAGTAACTGAGGTGTGGCCTGGTGTCTCTCACACACAGCGGGGAAGCTGTGTCTGCAGCAGCACTCAGCCCGACCCCACAGCGCGCTCCTGCAGTGATGGGGGGCTCGTCCCAGCTCCCCGTTCCTCTCACCCTACCCTGCCTGGTTCTGTGTTCTTTCAGCTCCCTCACTCTGACCTGTATCCCCAAAACTCAAGCACACTCAAGCACCTGATAAGCTTGTGCCCAGATCACCTGGATAGGGAAGAGTCTTTGGTCGGTCTGGAGGAGATGGGCAGAGTGTGGGCATGCAGTGACCCTCTGTCCTGCACACCGTGACGAGGTGGTTGCTGTTCCCAGGCTGACAGCGACTTCAGGTAGTCTTGCTGAAGGCCAGCAGGGGTCAGGTGGCACTGGCCGACTTCGGGGTCGGTCACAGTCCACATTGTCACCTGTCCTGGTACCCTGCCCTCCCCCACTCTGGAGCGCTGCTGCAGGAGGGAGCTGTAATGTTGATGGGGTGAGTCACACTCAACCCACCAGAGGCTTCCAGGGTGAGATGCTTGATTTGCAGTCAGGGAGATGAGTAGAGGGAGCCATTTAAAGGACGTGAGGGAGGTCGTGGTCCGCAAACCGTAGGTAGTCGACATGGCCAGAATGCAGGTGTTATAACTGGGTAGCAGCAGAGGTGGGACTGGAGAGGCTGGACCACACAGCCTGGGCTGCCGTTCAGGATGCAGGTCACATCCTGAAGGCTGGTGGCACACCTAAAGGATTTAGGTGGGGTCTGACGTGGAAGAGACTGTTGTAAAGGTCACTGACTGCGTGGTGGAGAGTGGACAGAGAGAAATTAGGAAGCCGTTGTGGAAACCCAGGGGTCGGGGAAAGAGAGCTGAGCTGGGGTGGAGCCTAGGAGGCCCATCACTGTTCCTGGGAGGTGGACGAGAGAAGCAAGGTGACTGGACGCTTAGGGCCTGATGAGGGGTGGATGTGTCATGTGGAAAGGAGAGAGTGAGGTCAGATTTGCAGATCATTGGCTGTGACCTTGCTGTGGAAGACAGATTGTCCCCACAGCAGCTGAATGCGCGGGAGTTCAGGACGCGGGGCTGAGAGGTTGGTTTGAGTTTGGGAGTTGTCAGCTGGGTTGAAGCCTGGGACTAAGAAGAGAGCAGGGAGTGAGCAGGAATCGCAAGGATTCTAGATTGTGACGTGGGCGATGAGGCACCTGGAGCGGAGAGGGGAGGCACCTGGGAGACACGGGGGAGGTTGCCAGATGCCGGGAGAGCAAGCGTGCGGATCCTGGAGGGCTTGTGCTGCAGACGCTGGTCAGTGGGGTGTTACGAGCATTACATGGTCAGTTAAGAATGTTGTGTGGGAAGAGACTCAGAATATTAATATTAATTAATATGCTAACTAATATTAAGTGGAAAAATCAGAATAACTGTAGTAAAATCCCAATTTTGTAAAAAAAAAAGTTTGTAATTTGTACACATGCATATAAGGAAATCTGGACGAGAATGCCCTTAAATTTTACGTTTCTCAGATGGTGGAATTATGTATGATTTTTCTTCATTAATGTATAAATCTTCTACAGTGAACATATATAATTTTTACGAGGAAAAATACTGACATGAATCAGGTGGATTCGATTGAAAGTGATTTCCAGTGAAAATGGTAATTGCAGTATTTGTCCAAAAGGGTCCGTTTGAATTGTGAACTTGGAGGTCATCGGTGGTCTTAGAAAACTTTCAGTCGTAGTAGGATCCGAAACTAGAGTGTGGTGGATTGAAAGATGGAAGGAAAGCTGGGAAGTGTAGGTGGTGAATCCAGAAGTGCGCTTCCGCCAAGCTGATGGAAAGGCCTGGACAGGGAGGTGCGGCTGAGGGTTTTCTCAGTTGGGAGGGGCTTGCGCAGCTGTGTGCAGAAGGAAGAGAAGATGGGCAATGCGACAGCCTGATGCTTTTGTGGAAGGGAATTAGTCATTTCTAATCAGGAGGGAACTCCATGTTTCTGATTAACTGTGTTAGAAAGTGAGTCGGGTGTGGTTGGGTGTGGTCCGTGCAGCCTGGTCACGGGGCGTGGTCCGTGCGGGGCCTGCGCTCACCCCTCCTGCCGAGTGTGCCTGCGTGTAAAGCAGCCCTTGGAGAAGCGGCGGGTCTCTGTACAGGAACGCTGTGCGCTGGGGCTCAGCTGACCCCCACGGCAGCCTGGGAGCCTGGGTGCTTGAATGGCCCGTGAAACCAGGCTGGTCTCTCTTTGAGTGGTTGGTTTGGGGCCTAACTGCTCCCTTCTTTTCCCGCTGAATGTGGGCGTTACATGGAGAAAGGAAATGCCAGGGTCTGTGACCAGTTACCCACGAGACCGGGTCAGCATTTGCCAAAAGTCAAAAAGTGGCCCCAGCTGTCCCTGGGTGAGACGCTGCTGAGCCTCGGCCGTTGTTTAAACTTAGTGCGTTAAATGAGGAGCAGGGAACCCTGCACAACCAGGCAGCCCTGTGCGGAGGCAGGCCCAACTCTTCAGGAGGAGGGAAGCCAAGGAGCAAAGAGGAGGAGGTTCGCCCCCACGGGCTCGCTGCCTCCTCGCCGCTTTGCGTGGACTGCCTTCCTTTCCCGCGTGGGGCACGTTCCTAACAGCCACCGAGGGCCTCGTGGGTCCGTAGGGACCTGCTCACATACTTTGACCAACATACTGTGCCATAATTTTGCCCCATAACTGTTATTCAGTGTCCTGAGTTCAGTTTCTTTTCTGTTGATAAAATTAAATATTTATAATTATGCATTTCTTTTCGGAAATAAATTGATCTAAATTAAACACTCGAAAGCTAATACTACATTTTCATTAACTAGATTTCAAAACTTTTATTTCTTATATTCAGATTAACACTTTTAAAAAAAATTTAGTGGTAAAAATGTTGGTGGTTTTGTTTTTTTAGTTAAAATGTTGCATTTTTTTCTCTCCTCACAGGTTTATCTGGCAAGGCTGAGACAGATAAGACTGCAGAATTTCAATGAGCGCCAACAGATTAGAGCCAAGCTTCGTGGTGAAAAGGCAGGTTGAAAGTCTATTTTTTTAAAAGTGGTTGGATGACATGCTACATTGAGATTAAAAACACTGTGCACTTAACACAAAAAATCTGATGAAAACAGTAGAAGTCGAAGAGCAGAGAACTATACACCGGGGTACAGTGAAGCTTATTTATATGACTTAGAATTGGTACGACCACCTGTTCAGGGGGACTCTGAGAGGAAAGTGTGAGTCCTAGCCGTGGACATGTCAACGGTACATTTTTGTATCGCTCTTTTCACCTTTTTTCCCGATGTCCGTAAGAGTTGATGGTTGGGGAGAGTTTGCTTGAGGCTGTGAGAGACGGTGGTAGCACTGAGCAGGTTACCCTGTGCACGTCGGGGGGTGTGAGTTCACTCAGGTAAACTCGGCAGTGAACGGGAGGCTCTGCCCTAAGGGGTTTGCTTACGTGCTTTTCTGCAGAAAGAGGCTGATGGCCCCGATGGACAAGAGGGAAGCGAGGAGGCTGGCGTGAGGCGGAAGAAGGTTGAAGCACTTAAGGTGTGTACGGGGCTGACTCAGGTCTTCTTAGAGAAAATCGAAGCCTGAGAGAGAATTGTGCTCTTGGGTCTTTCAGAGTTAAGTCACCTTTTTCTCTTGCCTTAACTTTTCTTTGCCTTTTATCCCTCACTTGGTGGTTTCTGGAAAATAACGCTTTCCTCTGTATCATATTTATGGAGAGCAGTTTGGTGAAAGCATGGCATAAATACACGAAACGGTTACACAAGTGACCTTAAAAGAAAAAAATGGTAACCTTAAAATGGAAACAATAATTGTCCACTTTTGTGAAGACAAGTTCGTGTATAATAGTCAGTTTAAAATTTTTACATTTTTCTTTCCATCACGATGCACCTGCATTGATTTTCATCCCAGAAATGTTTATTGAGCAGCCACTGTGTGCTGGGACCTGGTTTAGGTGCTGGGGATACAGCATCGTGTGTATTTGGGAACCACACACACGAACACGCACTCACACACGCACACTCATGCACACAGTCACACACACACACATGCAGTCACACAGGTGCTGGGGACAGAGCATATGTATTTGGGAACCACATACACGCAGACACACCCACACAGTCACACACTCACATGCCCTCACACAGGTGCTTAGGATACAGCTTGTTTGTGTTCTGGAACCACACGCACACACACTCAGGCGCACACAGTCTCACTCACGCACTCACACAAGTGCTGGAGATACAGCTTACACATGTATTCTAGAGCCACAAACAAACATACACTCTTCTTTTTTGGCTAAAAAGTAAATATTTTTATAGACCTGGAAAAAACCTAAACCCCTTGCCTCTGTGTGTGCTACTAATTTTCCGATTGCTTTTCCTTCCAGGCCCAAGCAGGCGCACGTGCTGCGGTCCTGAAGGGGCAGCTCGAGCAGAAGCGGAGGGAGGCATATGAAATGGATCCATCCGTTAAGGTTTTAATTCTGAAATTCTTTAAAGTTTCATAAGCTTCTTGACTGTATCCTTGAAGGCTTGTTTTACCTGTTGGTTCCTTAGGGTGTAAATGAAGGGGTTCAACCAAGGTGCAGCTGAAGTAATGAGGAGAGCGGCTCCTGTGTTGAATGAATCTGCTTCTTTTGCTGTGGGCTTAATGCACATGAAGAAGCAGCTTCCATAAGAGAGAGGGATGACAGTCAGGTGGGAAGAACAAGTGGAAAAGGCAGAGGGGAGCTTCAGAACAGTCCTGATGATGAACGTGTGGGAGAGGATCACTAGCACCAGAGTGACCACCAGGGTCACTGAGGCCACAGGGAAGACAACCTTCTCTGTGAGGCTCGTGTCTGAACAGGAGAGTTCCCGAAGGGGCTCATAGTCACAGAAATAATGATTCAGCCTGTTGGAGGCACAGAAGTCCTGCTGACTCATCAGAGTGATTGGTGGTATGATAACCATTAACCCAGCCAGCCAGGAGCAGAGAGCCAGCTGGGTGCAGGGGCTTGCAGACAGTCATGCAGTGGTCATAGTACAGGACGGCCAGAGGGTAAAACTCCACTGACCCAAGGAATATGGCAAAGAAATACTGAGTGAAGCAGCCAGCAAAGCTGATGCTCTTGTTTCCTGTTGTGATGCTGATCAGGACCCTAGGAATGAAGATGTTTGTGAAGGGAATTTCTAAGAAGAGAAGTTCCAGAGAAAGAAACATATAGGGGTCTGAAGGTGGGAGTCCAGCAGGGTGAGGATGAGACTCGTCAGATTCCCCACCATGCTGAGCAAGTAGGCAAGGAACAGAAAGGTGAAAACCATCCCCTGGAGTTCAGGGACACCTGTTAGACCCAGCAGGATGAACTCAGTCTGCATGGTTTTATTTTCCATTGCTGAAAAAGTTTGAGTCTCAAGGTGAAAAAGTGGTAATAATAAAAGGTGAGAAAGGAAGAGGTGTTCTGAGAGGGACATAAAGTCTGAAGAGAACAGAAGGAGAGGGACCATGAACTTTTCCCCTGATGACGTGACCCAGCCCAGCAGCCCATTTGAGTGGTGTTGGATCCTTGCCATTCTCCTTTGTCCTGTATAGAAGGTTCTGGTCATGATTTCCCCAAATGTACTCTCCCCAGTGCCCATATGAAATAATTGCTTTGTAGATGATGTTTAAATAGTTTTTGAAAAGAGTTAATAAAGGAATGCCTGCAGCAGCTGTCTCCTTCCAGAAGTTAACTAACTTTCTTTCCCCTGTATTCACTTTCCTTACTTCCCACTGGTTCCACTTATTGCCCTGCTTCCTTTGCCTGCCTAACTCTTCTTAGATGAGCTGTTTTTCTTATGCTTCTCTGCCATTTTTGTTTTTATTTTTCATACAGTTATAGCAGCCTCTCATTTTATTTCCTGTTCAACTCCCTCAGTTCCCTTGGAGCCAAAAGTACTGGCTCCTCACTTCTTCCCAGTGGACCCCGCAAGCTTCTCTGCCCTTGTCTGTCCATTAGAATTCAAAAATTGTGTATTAGAACTAAAATTGTGTATTAGAACTTCTGTCCTTTGAACCATTCCACATACCTGTCTACAGTTCAGCAAATAGTAGATTAGAATAAAAATCTGCATTTACACAAATGTATTCAGAGTCTTTAAGGACAGGGAGATGCTATTACATTTCAAGGAAATTTTAGGAGCTTCAGAATATTTCAAGCAGGAGTTCTAAACTAGGGATCTGTTAATTCTAGATTGGATTTACCATGTCTATGAACCCACTAAATCATGTGTAAAACATTTTCAGTATGTGGGTATAGAAATTTTACAGGAAAAGTGTATAAAAACTATGATCCAGGGTTTTCTGAGGAGTCTTCACATTTAAGCACTTCAAGAGCATTTCAAGTCTCTACTGATTTGTGAGCTCATGTTGTTTAAGAATCACATTATATGAGAGCATCCTTGCTGGCTTATTCAAGATTTTCTTTACGTATTGTTTCTACAAACATTTATAGGGCAGCAGCTTTCAAGCATTTTGACCATAAGGTATTCTGCATTTTATATCATTTTCTGGCAAACTTGTATATGTCTAACTTAAACGAAGGTTTTAGAGAACACTCCGTATTACTGTCCCTATGTGGGACAACATAGGATTTTAAATTTTATTTTATTAATTTTTTTTTCAAATGCTGATTGTGACCCATTAAATTGATTCCATAAGCCACTAGTGGGATGCAGTCCACAGTTGGAATCAGGGACCAGGAAAAGTTACACAGCGCTCTGGATGCCCTTGCCCTCCTGGTGACCAACCTGAAATCTTCAGGGAAAGGTTCAATATTCACATC